CATTCATTTACAAGCACTTGGCCTCTGAGGGGCTGTAAGAATCATGCATATTCTGTAGTCACACTGGTGATAGCTTTAACAGGGAGGATCACCTATTCCTGAATGTCTTTGCCACATTTTCTAAAGCATCTCTCCTCACTCGGTTTCAAAATAAACATACCTTTTCAGCTATTGTTCTTTGCAAGTGTCAAGAGCTCCACTTTATACACACTTCACAAGTACTGTACATTCTACTGAGTTTACTGCTACTGAACTTCAAGGCAAATGAGTATATTATTGCACTTGAGGTACATTATACGTTCTGTCAAATTATCACAGAACTTACTGGGAAAATTACTTCTTAGGATAACTTATGGCTGACTGTGAATGTATTACTCATGCAGTCAGAAAAAGCTAAATTACAGAAGTAGGAAGTTTTGTTGAAGGACACCCCTGTCCTTTGGAAAGCTCTACTATGGGTCAAAAGATGTCAGTAAGAGGTGTGAATATCACTAGCCTATCTGGGTATGATCTAATAAAATAAATGTGTGATTAAATATACCGGTACCTGCATCCTGTACATGTTTCCAGTACTATAAACTACAAAAACAAAAACTCCCACAGATTGGAGCAGAGTGTATAACAGAAGCCACACCTCTCCACTAATTCTGTTGTTGTTGTTTGTCTGTTTCACAATACATGAACCCAATGAAAATTTCTTGGGAATCTCATATAGTTTGTAATTATCTACACTCTAACCAGGGACACATTCGTAATATTTTCTCCATTTTCTGGTTTCCTCTACCCAAAAGAAATCAAGGTAGAAATTAGAACAATTAAAATAATTCTAGTCACACACTAATTAGTATGAGACAAATTGGGGAAGATATATCACAAAAGGGATCACATTTTGGCCTGCAGCTGAATAAATGAAGGAGGGACTGTAGCAATATTAGTTGTTTAGAAATTACACTGATTTTATAAGCTGCGCATTAGACTATAATTAGTGTAGCATAAGAAGCGAAAAATCAGAGATGAGTTACTTTCTCTACAAACCTTTTTATGGTAACAGTTGTTATTTTTATTGTAGTTGCCTGAGGTTCCATGAAATTTTCTCTGAGTACGCTAAAACAGTTGATAACAAGCATTAAATAAATCTTTTTTTGCAATAATATTAGGGTCAATAACTTTTATGTGTTCTACTCAGTGTTTCCAAAAGAATTATCCAGATGTTGATGACAACCTATTACCTATTTTCCCCACACATGCAGGCTGGGTCTGATAGGAGATAAGGTTCAAGAATGTATGAAGGATCACAAAGATTCATCATACCTGTTGTAAACTCACATAAAGAACTGAGAAGTGTATAGAATAGGCATGGGCAAACTTCAGCCCTCCAGGTGTTTCGGACTTCAACTTCCAGAATTCCTAACAGCCTACTTTGTCCATACCTGGTATAGAACATGGCTGGGCTCTCTTGATTTTGTTGAATTGCATTTCCCATCCGGCACAGGTAGCCTCGGCAATGGCGAGAAATTATAGGAACTGCATTGCCACAGAATCTGGTAGGCCAAGTTTACCACCCTTCTCGTAGAATGGATCACAAATGCAATATTTTCCTTTGTTTCATCCTCCTAGAGGTATCACCTCTAATACCAGTCCTCTGTTAGGGAGTGTCACCAAATAGGAGCGAAAATGATAAAGCTCCTTGTTCAAGAAAGCAATGTTGACAGCTATAAGTAGAAGTCACCACCATGTACAGTTTGGGTGGTTATGGTTGTTTCCAATGGATATGTATTTCTAAACTAAGTCTTCCAAAAGGCCTCCACAATGTCAAAATGACAACATTGTATGTCCAATTGTTGAAGGGTTGTCCTGCCAAATGGATTGCAAAATCAGATTCCATCTGGATCTGATGGACAGCGTACATTTCAGAATGTACACAGCTTAATCAGACAAGCTGGTGACCCCATATAGTGAATGTGTTGTACAGTGGACATCTAGGAACACCAAGAAAGTCTTTTTACATTTTAAAGAGGTAAGAAACGAAGAAACGGATACACATGGATACAGCTGGAAAAATAAACATGTGTGGAAATTTTATCTCTCTTTATAATTTTACTAGGGCCTATATTGTGACATAGAGCGAGTGTGATATGGGCTTTTCAACGTTGAACTACAAGTCTGTGAGACCAAGAGATGAATCTCCACTTGGCCATGGAAACATACTGTGTGACCTTGAGCAAATCACAATCTCTCTGTCTCAGTGGAAAGCTATGGCAAATACCCTCTGCAAAAATCTTAATGAGAAAACCATATGATAGGTTCGCCTTATGGTTGTCATACGTCAGAAATGACTTGAAGGCACACAACTGGAGCAATACAGTTGAATGTTAATTCACATTTACAAATCTGAGAAAGGTTTACCATTGCTCTCCATCTCTAAGAACAAGAAAAGAGAACAAAATAATTAGGAAGAATTTAACAAATAGACACTGCAAGCATGTAAAAAAGTGTGTGTGGGAGGAATGGCTGTATCATCTCCTTATACAACACCACCTTCAAAACTAATTAGAGGGAGATAAAAAAGTAATCTCCTGCCTGGACAGATAATGATGCTTCTGTGCATTAACAACCTCCACTCTTAATATAGAGGCAACATAATCATCCACAATAAAAACACAATTTAGCAAAATATCAGTCACACCAAGGCTAGGACATATCCTCCCCTGAATTAAACAAACTCACATTAAACTTTGGTGAAAATCTGGCCAAATTTTCAAATAAAATGTATGATACACAATTTTTGTTGTATAAAAGAACAGACGTTAGAGTTTCAAATAATGTGTGACATAATATGTGACCAAGAAAATTGGAGAGTTCTAGGTAACTTGCCTAATTTAGCTATTTAGAACTAACATATTCTACTTTTTCCCTCAAATAAATCTACAATGAATGAATGTGTTGGCATCTACTCTAAAATTATCATGACTATGAAGATCTGCTCATCTTATATTTAATCCCTAAGATTATATTGACAGGCACCTAACCTGCCAGATTGATGGGCTTTAGGACAGACTTCTGGTTTTAAACTGTTTATGTTTCTCTCTTCCAAATGTGTTTGTTTGTTTCTGATACTTTAATTTATTATAACTTGGATTGAGTTGTTTTTATGATAAAAATTATTGAGTGGGAAATGTCAAACTGAATAAATTAGAAATAGATTGTTGAAAGCTTTCATGGCCGGAATCACTGGGTAGTTGTAGTTTTCCAGGCTGTATAGCCATGTTCCAGAAGCATTATCTCCTGACTTTTCGCCCACATCTATGGTAGGCATCCTCAGACGTTGTGAGGTCTGTTGGAAAACTAAGAAAATGTTTCCAACAGACCTCACAACCTCTGAGGATGACTGCCATAGATGCAGGCAAAACATCAGGAGGGAATGCTTCTGGAACATGACCATATAGCCCGGAAAACACACAACAACCTAAATTAGAAATACTTTGTATGTAAGGCTGCAGTTGAGAAATATTTGAAGAATTCAGCAGATTCAGTAGACCAAAATATCACAAAGGCATCAGATCCCAGGTGAATTTGGAAGTTAAACAAGGTCAGCCCTAGTTAGTACCTGGATGGAAGACCACCAAGGAATTCTAGGTGCTGTAGGTTATAGTTCTACCTGTGTGTATTCTTTACCTAAGGGAACCCTATGAAATTCAATGTGTTGCCATAAATCGACAGGTGACTTGAAGGCACGAATATGCGTACACGTATTAGAATACAGAAAACCGTTTATTCGCTTAGGTTTCCTAAATTAACCACATTTGGCCAATATATTTTTTTCTATCAGGTATAATTAAAAGCAGTCATTTTAACCCAAAAAGTCATGATGAGGGGTTACTGAATAACTGTTTTTTCCTCATTGGAACTTGCTATCAGTTTCAATTAGCCAGAAGTCAGGCATCTAGTTTCCAGAGACTGTGCCTTTCCTCTTCCTGAGACTTCCTGAATGCCAAACCCCAGCACTTTCCATCTGCTCCATAACCCTGATCCTTTGTGGTCTGATAACACAGAACTGGTTGTTTATTGGTGTTCTTGTTATGAGTCTTTAAGTCATTTCTGACTTGTGTCAACCCTAAACTAAACCTATTATAGTGTTTTCTTGGCAAGATTTCTAGAGAGTTTTATGAGTTCCTCGGAGGCTGAGAGTATAACTTAGTGAAGGTCACATAGTGGGTTTCAATGGCTGAGCAGGGATTTGAACTTCAGAGTCGCAATCCAGTGCTCAAGGCCCCTATACCACAATGGCTCTAATTCAATTTACTTTGCATTCTAGGCTGTTCTAGGTTTTTTTAATTTCCTGAATGATTTAACGAACTATAGCCCATCTTGGACATCAACATTTGCTGAAAGGCAGGATATATACACCTACAAATCACCACTAGACAGGTTTTCCTTATCAATTTCATGTGGTAAATCATATGAAAGTGTCATAGGTAGTGATCTGACACCTGGTATTTACCAAAGCTTAAGAAATAAGAAACACGTTTAACATGGAGAATTCTGTTGCAACACTTATGAGTATTCACAATAAATGTTCACTATTCACCATGTAAAACAAACAATGGACATAGGTCATTAGCTTCAAAATGTCCCATATTCATCTCTTGGCCGGTCAAGGTAAGAATGGGAAAGAATGTGTCTAAAAGAGCAGCTGCCAGCCAGTATAGAGAACAGTTATCTATGTAGACCAGTAGTTTCCAACTTTTGGTCATCAAGGTGTTACACACTTTAGCCCCTAGAATGGCTGACAGTTGGGCAAATTGGCTTGGGTTTCTCAGAGTTTAAGTAACAAATATCTGGAGGACCAAAGGTTGGGAACCATTGACATAAACTACTGATTTTAATCAGCACAAGGCAACTGCCTATACCACTTTTCTCATGATTTGTTTCACCACGTAAGTGTATACGCATAGGACCTCCAAGGAGCTTGATAACTGAGAATTTCCTCTCATTCCGCAGTAATTTTGGCCACCAGCCAGGAATGATGAGGAACTGATACTTTTTAAATTAAAGCAATAAAAGAAAATGAAAGCAGCACAATAGTACACTGGGGCCATTAACGCCTATGAACACTACTGCCCTTGCTGAAATTCAAAAAAGCAATTCTTTTGCTCCGTTCCAGAGTGAATTTTATCTCTTCCTCTATATTGAACATTCAAGGGATAAGAATATTACGTATTTAAAGAGAGATTTATTGTGCACAGCGTGATTATGATGATGATCATGCAGGGCGGAACAGTCATGCAGGGCTTTTTCATTTGCAGAAGGAACCATTCCCAGCTGCAATTAAACAAAACACCGGGGAGAGAAGAGTGAAATGCAAGGAGACAAGGAAAGGGGAACTTCGTCAAGTCAAAAAAGAAGGAAGAAACACGTTACCTCATCGTCATCTGCGTCATACTGTGCATAGTGTTGTTCCAAAAGCTCTCTCTGGCGACGTTCTTGCTCTAAGGTCTGGCTAATCAACTGAGCCACTTCGCTCATTTGCCCTGGCTTTTCTCTGCCAATTATAAACCTGAGGAGAACATCAGTGAAACACAAATAATTTCTTCTCTTCTCCTTATCTGTACACTAAACACCCCAATATGACACTTTAATATAAGCTAACACACCAATATGGCACATTATAAGCTAATACATATCATATGGGAGAAACGTTTGCAAACTTTCCCACTGCATCTAATGTATGAAAGCAACCATAAACAACCATTTTTTATTTAATTCATTCTCTCACTCCACGCTCTATTACACACATTCATCTAAGACAGTGGTTCTCAACCTTTCTAATGTGGTGACACCTTAATACAGTTCCTCATGTTGTGGGTCCCCCCCCCCCCCGTGTCAGGAGAGACTTGAGAAACTGCAAGTCACTTCTGGTGTGAGATAATTGGCCGTCTGCAAGGACGTTGCCCAGTGGACTCCCGGATGTTCTGATATTTTACCATCCTTGTGGGAGGCTTCTCTCATGTCCTCAGCATGGGAAGGGAGCTCACCCGTGCTCTCCCTGGATTCAAACCTCCGACCTGTCCGTCTTCAGTCCTCCTGGCACTATGGTTTAACCCATTGCACTACTGGGGTTTCCTTGTGGTGACCCCCAACCATAAAATTATTTTCTTTGCTACTTCATAACTGTAATTTTGCTACTGTTATGAATCATAATGTAAATATCTGATATGCAGGATGTATTTTCATTCACTGGACCAAATTTGGTACAAATGCCCGATTTGCCCAAATTTTATTTTGTCATTTGGGAGTTGTAGTTGCTGGGATTTATAGTTCACCTACAATCAAAGAGCATTCTGAACTCCACCAACGATGGAATTGAACCAAACTTGGCACACAATACTGGAAGGGTTTGGAGGGCATTGACCTTGAGTTTTGGAGTTCACCTACATCCAGAAAGCACTGTGGACTCAAACTTGGCACAAATACTCAATATACCCAAATGTAAACACTGGTGGATTTTAGGGAAAACAGGCCTTACATTTGGGACTTGTAGTTGCTGGGATTTATAGTTCACTTACAATCAAAGCGCATTCTGAACCCCACCAAAGATAGAATTGGGCCAAACTTCCCACACAGTACCCTCATGACCAACAGATAATGCTGTTTTTTCCTCATGATCTTTGGTGACCATTCTGACACCCTCTCATGACCCCCCCAGGGGTCCTGACCCCCAGGTTGAGAAACGATGATCCAAGACAATTGCATGGCTGCATTTAGAATTTTCTGTACAGAACACATGTTAAATTTAGAGATATAGGTATACAATTTTGTGGCTAGTTCTTGAAGATTACTTTATAGTTTTAATTGAGGTATGCAAAGATTGGAAAATATGTTTTCACAGGACTAGAATGCCCTAGCCAGCTAGAAGTTGGCAATGCTGACTGGGGGGTGACATGATTCTATTCTAGAAGAATTAGTAACACCAAACTCAGTACTCCAAGCTCTGACCCACATGCCCTTCATTTTAGAAAGCTTTCCATGCTTGAGAGAGACTGCTTGAAATTAAGTGTTGTTGCTATGAGTTCTTGAAAGATACTCAAGAGTCTGCAACACAAAGTTGTCAAGAGCATTTCTTCTGCTAAGTCATTTATCAGGCACAAAGTAAAAAAAAAAAGCAGACATGAATGCAATTTGGCACGTGTCAATGAAGACTTCCAAAAGAGAAATATATTTTTAAATGATCTCATATATAATGATGAGATCAGAGTCTTACAGTGAGACCACATAATTGGACACACAGGATGTTCAAGGCTTGCAGAAAAGCCACCAGAGTGAAATTCATAATAAATGTTAACCTATTAACCACCATTATGCCTGTCCTCCAAAGGACAGGCACCAGTGAGATCCTGTTGTAAATGTTGCTGTGGAGACAAAATTCTGAGTTATTGCTTTAGACTTTCTTTCTAATACCTGTACATACAGAACCCCAATGCTCTTCAGCCACTTGCCTTTTCTTTCTGTTCACTTCCACCCCCAGTTTATAAAATGCTGCTTCTCTACCTCTAAGAAAAACATTTTGCTATGGGAAGAAAAAAAAACCTACAAATACACGAGAAAAGTTATACTGGTTCCAACCAGTTTTGGCATTCTGATCAAAAATGGAAAACAAGCTTATGGAAAGTCTCAAACCTCATCAGACGCACTTTAAACTAGGTCCACCAGGGGAAAGGGACAACAGCCTTTGCAAACAGTATTTATCCACAACCAAAGGGAACCGTAAAAAGGCTAAATGGAGGGTTGCACAAACACAAGGACTAAGTACCGAAAGCACAATAATCTCAAATAAACAGCTCAGGGGAAGATTTCAGGGGCTCACATGTCTTTACACTAATGCACAGAGCATGGAAAATAAACAAGACAAACTCCAATTTTTAGCACACCACACTTACGATCTCATAGACATCACTGAAACTTGGTGGGATGACTCCCATCACTGGAATGTAGTCACAGAGGTCAATAACCTCTTTCACAAAAACAGAACAAAGGGGAGAGGAGGGGGAGTAGCCTTATATGTCAAAAACAGTTACACAGCAGAAGAGATGCAAGACTTCGGGAAACCAGCTTACTACAGACGTCTGAGCCAGGCTGAAGAACTTGATGAAGCCTTCTGTCAGCACTTGACTATACAAGCACAAAGAAGAGATATAGTAGTTATGGGCAATTTCAACTATCCTAATATTTGCTGGAAAATGAGCTTGGCTAAGAGTAAAAAATCCAACAAATTCCTCAATCGCCTTTTATGGTCCAGAGGGTAGAAGAGGCTACAAGATGATCGTAACTCTTGATCTCGTCCTAACAAAGGTGGAGGAGCTGATCAATGCAGTTGAAGTGATCAGATCTTTAGGAACACGTGACAATGTGCTCCTGCAGTTTATGATACAAAGGAAGGCCGAAACTAAGATTAGTCCAACCCCCTTTCTGGACTTCAGGAAAGATGACTTTCAAAAAATGAAGGAAATAAGGAGGGATGGGAGTTTTTCAAGTCTGAAATATGCAAGGCACAACTGCAAATAGTTCCAACAGAGAGAGAAAAATAAGGTAAGTGCAAAGCAGCCAGAATGGATGTCCAAAGAACTTCTCACTGGGCTAAGACTCAAAAGAGACATGCACAAGAAGAGGAAAAGCTGAGAAATCACCAAAGAAGAATTCAAACAAAAAACCAACTCCTGTAGGAAAAAGATTCGAAAGGCTGAAACGCAAAATGAGCTTAGGCTAGCCTGGGACATTAAAAACAATTAAAAGGCTTCTTTTCTTATGTCAGTAGAAAAGGGAAGAACAAGGAGGCAATATTTATTATTTATTTATTACTTTATTTGTATACCACAGTTTCTCAGCCCGTAGGCGACTCAACGCGGTTAACAACAAGAGGAAAGATTCAATGCTAACAACATACATTATTTAAAAACACTTAACACATAGTATACTATTAGTTATACATCAATCACATCAGAAGCAACACATTAACATCTCGTAACTAGAATCGTGATCCAACTCGTCATCCGTAATTCCGTTTCCTATATTCATTGTACTCATTGCACTGCTTCTCCGAACGCCTGTTCGAATAGCCAGGTTTTCAGTTTTCTTCGGAACACCATTAACGAGGGGGCTGATCTAATGTCTATGGGCAGGGTGTTCCACAGCCGAGGGGCCACCACAGAGAAGGCCCTGTCTCTTGTCCCCGCCAAACGTGCCTGTGACGCAGATGGGGTCAAGAGCAGGGCCTCCCCAGAAGATTTTAGAGTCCTGGTGGGTTCATAGGCGGAGATACGTTCGGATAGGTAACTTGGGCCAGAACCGTTTAGGGCTTTATAGGCCAACGCCAGCACTTTGAATTGTGCCCGGTAGCAAACTGGTAGCCAGTGGAGCTCGCGCAGAAGGGGAGTTGTGTGCTCCCTGAGTGCTGCTCCTGTTAGTATCATGGCTGCCGAGCGTTGAACCAATTGAAGCTTCCGAGCAGTCTTCAAAGGCAACCCCACGTAGAGAGCGTTGCAGTAGTCTAAACGGGATGTAACCAGAGCATGGACTACCGTGGCCAAGTCAGACTTCCCAAGGTACGGGCGCAGCTGGCGCACAAGTTTTAACTGTGCGAATGCTCCCCTGGTCACCGCTGAAACCTGGGGCTCCAGGCTCAGCGGTGAATCCAAGATCACACCCAAGCTGCGAACCTCCGTCTTCAGAGGGAGTGCGACCCCATCCAACACAGGCTGTAACCCTATACCCTGTTCGGCCTTGCGACTGACCAGGAGTACCTCTGTCTTGTCTGGATTCAATTTCAATTTGTTCGCCCTCATCCAGACCTTCACAGCGGCCAGACACCGGTTTAGGACCTCGACAGCCTCCTTAGTAGCAGGTGGAAAGGAGTGACAGAGTTGGACATCATCTGCGTACATATGACACCGTACTCCGAAACTCCGGATGATCTCTCCCAGCGGCTTCATGTAGATGTTGAACAACATGGGAGACAGTATTGAGCCCTGAGGAACCCCACAAGACAAAGGTTGTGGGGTAGAACAGGTGTCTCCCAGTAACACCTCTGTGTTACAATAGGGCCTCTGTGAGGAGAAGATAGGGTATTCTAGATCATTGCCCTTCCTGGTTGATCAAACAGACCAGAGGGGGGCTGGCAGAGTGGATGAAGGTGGTGGTCAATGCCTCCTTGGAACAAGGCAGAGTTCCAACTTGTATAAAGTAGGCAGCTATGAGACCTGTATTTGAAAAGCAATCCCTGAACTCCTCTATAATGGACAACTATTGGCCAGTGTCCAACCTTCCCTTTCTGAGCAAGGTCTTGCAGCATGACCTCCCAACTCCAAGGATTACTGGATGAAACTGATTATCTAGATCCATTTCAATCTGATTTCAGGCCTGGCTATGGAACAGAAACAGCTTTAGTCACCTTGGTGGATGACCTATAAAGAGAGCAAGACAAGGGGAGTATTTCCCTGTTGGACATCTCAGCGGCTTTTGATACCATTGACCATGGTATCTTTCTTGGTTATCTTACTGGGA